GCAATGTTGCTTATAAAATTCAATAAAGAAGCGCATTAATGCAAGGAGTAATATAGATCTCCAAATAAGTAACAGCTAAGTGATCTAAATACGCAGTGCGTATTGTCCTTTGCATATGAAAGTGTGCATACACACACACAAGAACGCTCGGCTAGACACTAACACACGCTTGCACAAAAAACTAATGCTAAATAGCACAGCTTATGCACAAGTCTCGCTGGAATTTACGCTCATTAAAACTAAGATAGCTGATCTTTATGAACGAGTCCAACAGCAGTATGCCTGGTGTTTCAGAGCAGATTTAAAAACTGCAACGGCAAATCGATGCTTTGTAGGCTGGGGCGTCTTCATCACAAGCTGCGATGGCAGCTGCTCCTACTGCGACCACACAACGCTCTGATTCACCTGCTAAAGTTCCATCTACAAATAAATATCAAGCCGTTTGCTGAAGAAGTTTGCAGAGTCCCCAGAATCCCAACTGCGTCGTTTGCTTCAAAATTGGGATACGTCCGGGCTAAAACCTTCCGGACTCAAGCAGCAAACATATCATTCACACGCTGTTCTTCGCGAAGATGCCTAAAACATCAGACCGCTAATTACGGTCTGAAAAGTAAATTTGGACAAACTCGCCAAAATGTTTGACACAGTCAAAACAACTGACATGTTTGCTATCGGTCCCGATTCGCAGCCCACTATTGTAAGTGCTATTGCTACCACGGACTTCCTAAAGGACATTGCTGACTCCTTGTGCCCACTCTTGCAAACATTTGAGTACCTGCAAAAAGATGTCAAGCGTCTGCAATCGGCAGACCGTTCTCGCAGCAAATCGCGAGATCAATTAAGCCAGCAGTCACGCAGCCAAGCAACTGACCAATCACGGCAAGCCAGCGACGAGTAAAATAAATTATGCTATTATCATCATTAAAAATGCAAACTACCATGCGCCCCTGCACAGCCGTTATACTAGAGTTATTGTCGTCACACACGTTGCTCGACGACAGCAAAGCCATCGACAGCTAATTAACCCCGCAGCCACCTATCTTATTAAAAATCCCTCTCCTCATAACTGATCACAAATCACACATCCGTTTTGTCATCGACTCCAGAAAAGTGGTATCTGTCATACCCCGCTCGGTGGTTAGACAAAATACTAAACAAAGTGATTTACTCCTGTATGCAGCAAATCATACGATCATCCACATTTATGGTATAAATGTAGCACAGCTAAATTTGGGGCTCCGTCGCTATCTAACGTGGCTATTTATAGATGCAGACGAAGATACTGATATATTTATACTATTCTAGAAGCAGCATATCAAGTTTGGTGACTCTAGCTCTTATTATTTACTAAATTTTCTCAAAAAACAGTATTTCCATATCGATTGTTATCGATTTCTTGGAAACGGGGCAAAATTTCAAGTCTCTAGCTCTTATAGGTTCTGAGATCATTGCGTTCATACATACGGACAGACGGACAAACAGACAGCTGATCAAGAATATATGTATATACTTTATGGGGTCGGAGATGCTTCCTTCTGCCTGTTACATACATTTGCACAAATACATTATACCCTGTTTACCCATATTTAATGGGTTCAGGGTATAAAAATAATTCGTACATTTTAATTTAGTGAAACAGCTGTTCGTTGTAAACAAGGTTGGCAAGCCTCTCTTGCACTTGTCGCAGCTGCTATAAAAATGCATATTCTCCTTTGTCTCACCCACTTGTTCATTCGTTGTTCCCCTAGGTGAAGCAATGCAATTATTCTGAGCCACAGCCAAATAACTTATAAACTAATATAATTTCAAATTATAAACGCATTATAACGTGCTGTAGTGAAAAGCCAAATTTGACTTTAATTCTTGGCTATAATTTCGAAACAGTTTCTAAGAAATATTGGCAACTCAACATTTATAAGCAAACTAAATCAGGAATTGCCATTATTCTAGTGCAACCAAATTATTGTGACTTGTTACAATTAGGCAATTGCAAAACGCCTATGTATGCTGACAATTTACAGCTCCCAAACTCGCATATATGTACATATGTACATAGGCGCCTCTAGTTGACTTTCGCGCTCTCCCTTTTGTGCGGTCATTCGCCGGCTCAAGTATATATGTATGTATATACGCTTCTACATAAGCAAGTGCACAATTTGTCGCGTTCTCTGTGTGCGTTGTATGCGCTTACTGTTCTTCAGCTAAACAGTTTTGGTGTTCTGATTTAGCGTTTGTGAAAATAAATCATGCAAGGCGAGAACACAAGTGATATGCAGGCAAACAGGGTGCTTTTTCTTAAGCGCAAGGCGGCTGCATTGGTAAAGCCATTGAGTAATAAAGAGACAGAGCTGAAGACTCACTCCGAGCTTTTTTTACCGTTTTAAAAATCGCGCGCGGTCGATCGAGTTAGTCCGCAAACGCAAAATCAAACTCAAAAATAAAACTCATTTACCATAGGAAGCAACAACAAATCACTTCAAAACAACAACAGTACGCACGAAACCCCATTTTTTTTTTCGTCGTCCGTCTTGATCATCAAGTGTTTGTGCGCGATAATGAGGACATAGGAAACTCAGTGCAAAGAAATGGGACAAATAATGCCACTGTGTTTGTTGCTGGTTTCTCTGTCGTTCCAACAAGAAACAACAACTACACTATTAGGGTTCTAATGTTGTTGTTGCATAGCCGAGTCTCGGCGCAAGTAGGTAGAAAATTTGAATGCCAGCAGGCCATACTATGACGTCACATTTTAAAGAATTTCATATCTTGTGATGCTTAGAATATATTTCTATCTTTATTACGTACATTAAAGTAATATATTAATAGGGTCTTTTATAAAAATTTATGTATTTAATAATGTGTTACTTTATTGTACGCAAAGATCGCATACACAAAGCCCTAGCCTGTGACGTCACATGCGCAACAGAATGTTGCAATCTTCTTAATTTCATATACTTCCCTTGGCTTGGAAAACACATACTTGCATATTTTTTACCAATATGTGTGAGATGAGACACACATGCCAGCAACTAATTGGCGCGTCAAGGCATTGATACCCTTATACATAGAAATGGTATAGAATGTTTAAAGAAAACAATTATTATTGATTGCACAATGAGTTAAAAGAGTGTAGAAGCTTAGATAATAGGCTGTAGCTTCAAACCAAAAAGGGATAGCAGGGACAGAATTTGTGGTGTTTTATTTTTATTGTCGAGTCGTTTGTTTTGATTATGGTTGTTGTTGGTTCATATGGGAAATGTTCTGAAGTTGTCTTTGATTTTTGGGCAACGGCAGATGTAGCTGTAGACAGCCGGGTGTTGGGTTTGCAATTTTTCATTGAGTAATACTCAATTGTGTTTGCAACCTCGCTATCGCGCACGAAGTGTTTCGAAAAAGAGATTTCGATCCAAACGCCTCCTCTGTCTCTTTATTACTCAATGGACTAAAGCAAAGATCTTTCTTCAAAATCTTTCTAAAGACCAATTGACTTGGGATGAAAGCCTGCCGATTGCACGTGATACGATCTGGAGGGAGCTATGCAGCTAAGCAGCTTTCGGAACATTCGGAATATCTCGTTTCCTATAGTGGGGCTTTTCGAAGAATCCGAAGGTGAAATTAATGCATTTGGCGATGCCAGTGTGGAGGCCTATGGAGCCTGCATCTACGTGATGGCCAGAAGTCCGCTAGCCACAAGTCTTTGCTCCAAGTCTTGAGTTGCGCCGTTAAAAACATTGACTGTCCCAAATCTGGAATTATGTGGAGCGAAGCTGTTGGCTAATCTAATAAATGAGGTCAAGCGGACAGGCATCTTTGTCAGCCAGTTTTATTGCTGGTGCGATTCGTCCGTGGTTTTATCCTGGGTTAGGGATGAGTCCTTCACATTCAATGTTTTCGTGGCAAATCATGTGGCTGCCATACAAGAACATATTGCCAGTATGGAGTGGCGATATGTTCCGACGGACAGAGATCCAGCTGGCATCCTTTCTAGAGTCACAGTTCCCGACGCCCTATCTCAATCGGAGGTTTGGTTTCAAAGCCCATCGTATGTATTAGATGGTCGCCAACATGGCCGGCGTCTTGTCTTCCTGAAATTTCAAGAGTTGAATTGAGGAAAAAAGTACTGATCATCAAGTCTCCACGTCCAGATTTAACTCTTAGATGCAAGCATATGAACTCATTTGGCTCCATGCAGCGTACATTCAGTTTTGTATACAAATTTATGAAGCGTTTAAGGTATCATGGACTTACTGTTGCAGACAGTCATCACGGCACTCGGATTCTACTTCGGCTTGTACAGAGAGCGAACTTGTGAGATGATATCAGGGAGATTCGGTCTCACGGAAGTGTGAAAAAGTCCAGCTCCATCGGATCTCTTGCACCATTTTTGGATGAAGGTGAACTCCTCTGTGTGGCTGCGCAACATACCATTATTTTGCCTCGGCGTCATGCCTTATCTCTCATCGCTCAATTTCATGAAATGCATCTACTTACTGGAGAACAGTGTATAAAGCAGTAGATGTGTGAAATGCTTAAGAGCGAGGCAGAGTTTCTTCGAGACTGTGATAGGAAGTCTTCTATAAGTCGGAAGTCAATTTCTACGTTAGCGTTTTCATCTGCTTCACCAGCAAGGCAATCTCTTAAAACCAGTCAAGGACCAATCGACTGCTACATTTTTGAGTGCCCTAAAACGATTCATCGTCACTCGTGGGAAACCCAGTCAGATTTGGTCCGACAACGCAAACAACTTCGTTGGAGTGAAGAATGAGCTGGTATTTTTAAAACGTCTCCTTCTTACATGAAAGCAGTTCAGCAATTCTGTCTCGCAAATGACATGGAGGAGAAATTATTTCCCCTTATTATTATTATTATGGGAGGCGGCAGTGAAACTGGGCAAGCACCATTTCTATCGGCTCGCGCCTATTATTTATTTATTAACCAACACTGGCAGCTTTCAGGTTATCTTAACTTTCAAAATATTATCTTTAATAAATAACTAAGTAAACAGAAAATATGAAACTTAAAGAAAATGTAAAATTAATGAGTTTTTAAGAAAGAATTCTTTAAGCTTATGTTTAATATGAGCACTATTGGCAGAAAAATCAAACCGCATTTCACTGGGAAGACTGTTATAAAGCTTTAGTGATCTGACCATAGGCTCCGTATTTGCATAAGCAGTTCTATGAATCCCCACAGAAAACGGCAAATGTTATCCCAAAGATCTGCTCGGCACATTAACGTTAACGCAAGCTAGAAGAAAGGGCAGTCAATTATTCCTACAATAAAATTGTTTACAAAAAGCAGCGCTAGTCGACACCTAGCTGTGTATGGCGGTAAGGGGTCAGCAAAGTTAAGGCAATGTAAATTAAATTTTAAAAACTGTTTTTGCAGCCTTTCAATCCTGTTTGTGTCCAAACAATTGCGGATGGGCTCAAGATTTAAGAAGCATACTCTAATACTGACCGCATAAAGGCCGAATATAAAGATAATCTTGTGGACGGGTCTTTTAACTTGCTAGAATTGCGCCTAATAAACCCAAACATCGGCATAATATAGTTTATATGCTCAATGAAAAAGAACTTAGAGTCAAAAATTACTCCTAACGGCATAAAAACATTTGCTAAATGTGATGTGATAGCATTTAGCTAAGTTCAGTGATAACTGGTTATGTTTACACCATTCAGACAAGTTGTGTCAGTCCTTCTGCAAAAACAGTACATCATGCTGAGACGAAATGCATTTGAATATTTTATGGTCATCGGCAAATAATAGATAATCGGACGAACGTAAGCAACTCCCTACATCAATAATAGACAAGTTAAATAGAAGCGGACCAAGACAACTCCCCTGAGGGTCCCCCAAAGATGCGACATAAGGTGCGGAGAAAGTATTGTTAATGCGTACGCTATAATAACGATCAGACAGATTGGATTTTAACCAGCTTAATAAAAAAGAGTGAAAACCCAGCCTTGACAGTTTCTTAACGGGAACGACGTGACTGACCTTATCGAAGGCTTTAGAAAAGTCAGTATACACTGCATCAACATGACGCTCAAAGCTCTGGATGCAAAAATTGTACAAAATCGCTAAATTGGTCACTTTAGATCTGCCCGGCGAGAAGCCATGCTGTCTAGGCAAAGGAGATATGTTTACCGACCATACCCTTAAATAATTTAGAAATATTACTTAGTTTTGCAATGCCCCTGTAAATCTGATTCCTGAGAAAGGTGGAGTGTCTCGTGTTTTGTTGAAATTCAGGCTTCCAACGGGTTGCAGCTGCAATAAAAATGGATATTCTCCGTTATCGCAGCCCTATAACTTATAAAATAATATAATTTCAATTAATAAACGCATTATATCGTGCTCTAGTGAAAAGCCAAATTTGACTTTAATTCTTGGCTATAGTTTCAAAACAGTTGCTGATTCGAACTAAATTACAAAGGTAAAGAAAGTTAAAGTTAATCACTATCTCTGCTGTTGCCGCTGCTGGCGTGGCTAATGTCGTTATTTTTGCTGTCACATCCACTGTAGGTTAGTTAAGATGTCATATTCAATGGAACGCTTCCACGGTTGTGCCGTTTGGTGGAATAGCTTGACATGCCGCACGTGCTTCAATTTCTACACATTGTGGCCGTCTATCGTACTTAGTTTCTTTGCATGTTTCGTATGCTTTTGCTAGTGCTTCTTTTCCATTTTCCTACCTTAAAATAAAAATCAACTTTTAGTTTTCTATGGGGCTTCTGTGAGCTTTGGTGTGTTCTTTCATTACAATATTGTTCTGTTTTTTTTTGTCTGTAAAATCTACTAATTCTTTCCGGGAATATCTAAATGAACTGAATATCTGACTGACAGAAGTGAAGCTTAGGAAACAAGGGTTTTCGTATGGAATTTTGGAATTTTGAACTAAGCCGTACTAAATGTAATTTTGGCTGAATTCGGTATCAATTAAAAATCGAACTTTATAACCGTTTCTCACTATACATTGAAAATATGACAACGGGACACCGTTTAATTTACAAACTTAAATCGTCCTCTTTATATCGAGCTATCAAGTCCTTAACTCCCTCCCCTACAACATTAAAGTAACTTTGTTCTTAAACATCGATAGAATAGGGTGCTACTGCCTCTGTCCCGTCGATCGTAAGCTTGATATCACCAGTGACACAACAGGGGCCCTGTATATCTCGTGGCCGGTCGTCGTTTTCGTATCAGGTCATTGCGCTATGGACTATTTATGTAGCTTATATTTGTATACCCTTAACCCATTAAAAACAGGTTGTTGTTGTTATTTTATTTCTTGTGTTTCAATTTGTTTGTATATTTTTTATGAGTTTCGAATAGCAGGCAGACCCACATTGGTCTCTGATTAATATTAATTTTAAGAGTTTACAAAGAGTTTACAAAGGCAAGCGAACCCGAATTGGTACGTGCCGATTGCAGCGAAGCGACAATTGCGACAGTTAATATGGTATGTTTGAATAATGCAAGTGGCCGATGTGTACCAAATGCACGAAGCGAACGAACTTACCTAACTCTATGCGCTAGGCCATTAAATGATCGTTAAAGCGAAGGGCGCCAGATCAATGTAAATAATGTTGAGAGCGAAATTTAAGCAATGCAAGTATTATAAGTAAGATGCTGTTCTTATCAGTTATGAGGTCGCTCCAGGTCGCTTTTGGCTGCGAAGCCAGTCATGGGTAAAGAGGGTATAATGTAGTTGTGCAAATGTATGTCACAGGCAAAAGAAAGCATCTACGACGCCATAAAGTATAAATATTCTTGATCGTGCAACGTGTGCCTATATTGGCACGTGTTTGCGGCAGCTAGCCCAAATTGCAAGAATTTCTGTATGTATGTACACACACACATTCATGAACATCTTTATTGAACTCTATCAACAGCATTGCGATTGCGATTGGGATTGTATTGTATTCTGTGATGTGTTTATGTGTTGCAATGTTAATTCGCTTTTTTCTCGTTGAAAAGGAATTAGTGGTATGGCTGTCGAGTAGAGATGGCGGCTAGTATTGCTGTCGGTACGGGTTCAATTCCCAATGGGGTAAATATTTTTTTTATTTTTTTGCTTAAGCAAATAAGCTTGTAGCGCGAGTCTCATTTGGTGTAGGTAGAAGAGGGTTCAGGATATCCCCTATTCGGGAACTCCCGACTAGAGCCTCTTACTTGTTTAATCTAATTTATTGCTCAGTTTCAATATGTGTTGGTTGGCGTTCCGGCTTCTAAATCTAATAACGCGGTGGCTCTAAAAGGTTCTGCCTGATTGGTGCGGAGTGTTGTGGTTCAGCAATTTGTTGCTGTATTGGTACACCGGAGCGGGTCATGTGCCCTCCGGATGATAAACCACGTTCAATCGGATGTGTCGCGGATTACACAATCTAGCGTCAAGGTTTCCTGCTTGTCAACCGTGTTATTTTACACTATAATAAAAGAGGGTGTTGTTTAAATTCGAAACAAAGGAATTTAGTGTTTTGGGCTCTCTACTAATCCAAAATAGTAAAGTGCAAGACTTAAGCCCCTTTGTTGATTTTGGCTATCTTTTAGTCAAAGCTCTTATAGTTTTCGGAGATCCTTCCTGAGCACTAATCTGATTTAGTATAAGGGGCAGCTGTTAGTAAAAAAAATTGTCTGCCTGATATAATTCGTGAATTCCTAATGGGCTCTTGCGAGAAGAGAGATTCTTCTAGGTTTCTTAAGTTAGCATAATGCAACGAAAGACATTTGGACATTGCCACTTATGTTATGCGATTCTAGTATTTTTCAAATCTCCTCTGTCATAATTTATTTGTTTACGATTACTATTACATTCCGAAGATCTGGGCTAGCAACAGTTGAGCTGAACGCTCTGTCCTCATGGTGCTGCGTGTTGGTCGGCAGTTCTGAGTGCCTCACCCAAAGGTAAGGGGGCTGATACATTTGGAAAAATCTTCTTGCTGGTTATAACACTTTATCATGGAATGCACAAGAATATTTTCACGATCTATTTTTAGTTTTATTAAATAACTTGTTATAAAAATATGTGGCCACCAGTAGTTTCTTTATATATTGCAAGTTGATAAGATGTTTTGTAATATATTAAAAATTTTAATAATACTATGTAAGGTGTGTGCGAACAATGTAAAAATTCCTAATATATAATATAAAATGTAGTAAATAATTAAAAACAATGTAAAAGTTATCCAAATTTTTGAGCAATGTTAAAATATAAAAAGTGTTGAAGGGATTATCTAATTTTTAAGTATGGAAAACATTTTTCGTTTTTATTATTATTACCTGAACCCATTAAAAATGGTTAAAATGGTATTATGTATTTGTGCAAATGTATGTAACAGCCAGAAGAAAGCATCTCCAACCCTTGATCAGCATCAAAAGCCGAGTCGGTCTAGCGATTTCCGACTGACTGTCTGATGAGAAAGCCTTCGGATATCTGAGTAGTTTGGATGACAAGTTTATTCTGAACAGCCTACAAAGCGAAACGTGGTATACATCAAAGCTTAAGACTATTGTACAAAATGTATGGTGTTGCTCTAAATATTTATATAAAGTTGCAACGTTGTTGCTGAGTGGTTTCCTGTCGATGAAACTTGATTCCGGGTTGAAGAGCACAGAATGTCCTGACTGGCACAATTGTTGTTTTTAGGGTGCCAAACAAGGGGGTTTGGTGGAGGCTGCAGTGACATACTCTGGTATGGTAAATCGCGCGCAGTACGAGTTTTCCTCGGATAATCAGTATCTTGTTCCGTTTGCAAGTAATCGATATCAAATATCTTTCATTTTATAGCTATCGCCACATCCCGCTACTAGCAATACAAGTTGGTTTATTATCTTTAATTAATGGCTTTGTGGTGGTAAAGGGGAGGTGGCGATAGCTATAAAATGAAAAATACTTGTTATATATACTATTCTAGAAGCTAGATGTCAAGTATGGCGACTCTAGCTCTTATTATTTACCAAAATTGCTCAAAAAACAGGATTTCGATATCGATTTTGATCGATTACTTGGAAACGCGGCAAGTTATCGAAAATCGGAAACAAACTCGTGTGGACTAGGAGGACCTACAGCTAAAATTTCAAGCCTCTAGCTCTTATAGGTTCTGAGATCCTTGCGTTAATACATACGGACAGACGGGCGGACAGACAGACGGACATGGCAAGAATATATATATTTTATGGGGTCGGAGTTGCTTCCTTCTGCCTGTTACATACATTTGCACAAAAACATTATACCCTTTTTACCCATTTTCAAGAAGAAGCAAGTGCTGAAGCCGATGCTAAGACAAAACAGTTTGAGTGTCGTACGAGTGACACATACATACGTATATATGCAAGTGAAATATGTGAATGTGTGTATGGCTTGCCCGAACATGATATGCCTCTGCGTGAGATTAATTGGTGACGCCGCTGCCGCTACCCTGTAGAGCCAGAGGCAATGTTTTGTGCCAGGCATGAAAATAAGTTTGAGGCCGATCGGATGATAAACAAAAAAGTTACATACAAACGTTTTTCGCGATTTTTCCACACTTGCACGTGCACCTACATCACATAAGGTAACTACAGTGAAAATTTCAGCTTCCTAGCTCTAACGTTTGGGCTGTGCGTTGATCACCAATCAGTCAGTCAGTCAGTCAGGACAAACAGATTTATGTATAGAGATGTCTGTCCGCCATTAGACAAGATCACTGCAGCGAGCAAGGGTCTTAGCCTAGCTTCAGCACATTTATGACATCGAGGTGTTGCACCTTGCACGAACCTTGCCTTAACAAAAAACGAATGATAAACAAAAGAAACAACAAATTACATTTGAAAGAGTTTGAAACGTTAAAATTTTCCTTTTTCTTTCTCAAATCACACTCGATTGCTAAGGAATTTGATATTCAATATAAACAACACAAACTTATATTATACCATTTACAGACACCACTAAACTTCATTCTCACTACACGGAGGATCA